ACACTCGTTTTCTTAGTACAGCCTGATCTACGAACTTTTGGCTAAAACTAACAGCGCTATCACACTCGCGATAATCGAAAACCCCCGTTCCACACTTTATCTCTCTCAATTCCATTGAGGATCGAGCGAGAAATCACTTTTCCCGTCTCTCTCCCTTACCCGTTTCTTCATATCCGGCGCAATCGTTTTCCCTCGCATCTCCTCAAACACTAACTCCCTTCCAACTCCGACTTCACAATCGTGTTTGCCTAGGCCTAAAACCCCTATCCACTACCCTACTTCGTCTGAGTTTGCTAGGAAGCGGATGAGAAGAATCATTCTTGCCCCCGCCGTTCCTTATCTTCAGCCTCACTGTCTTCATCGTTCACTTCCGAATGTACCTAGTGCGGATTCGCGTCTAGGTTCGTACTAATTCCTACCTTCAGTTGATGCTACCGGCTCCCCGCTCTCCCCTATTGATGTCGCACTCGGCATCACCGCGCAGCGTCCATCAGCGCCATCCCCCCTGGCTATGCCCTGCTCCGACATCGGTCACCACTTTTCAGATCGCAAACAAACACGCTTATACTCACCTCTCACAGCGGATTACGAACGGGGCATCAGCACACTGCGCCCCGCCCTAGCTACGATTACCCCGAGGGGTCCTTCGACGGTAAACCGATTATCCGACCGAGGCTTCAAGGGAAACCAGCCGTTAGCCGGTTCTATTAGTCATCCGCCCCGTACCGTATTCGACGAACAATCTGCCCAGCGGTATTGCTGTGAGTTTCTTCCAGCACGTGGCCCCACTGCCGTGCACCACACTGTTGTGGCTCTAACCATAGCAGATTTTTCCACAGCCTCGAGCCCCCAACGGGCATGCCACCCACTGACAACGACCTTAGTGTCGGGAGCGTTGGCCTGTTGCAGACTTGTGGCATGGTCTGAGGTGCAGCGGTCCTCCACAAGATCTTGGTAGTCGTATTAGTGCTTAAATGAAAGTTTTGTCGTCCAAAGTGGAGAGGGGTTTCACGCAGACAGTAGTGAGGCAGTCTGGGCCGTACAACTGCAGCCTCCCAGCAATACTTGCCGGCTCCCGCTCAAGCATAGATCATTCACCTTCTCTTGGCAGATAGCGGGTGGCAGGGTGGGCACCTTCAGTGGCCTACCACACACAGGCTTTTCCTCAACCCTATGGGCTAGATTATCCACCGGTTCGCATGCACATTGAACTCCTCGATCCATGTTTCGAAGCAGTCAAAATAGAAAAAACCTCGCAAGCATCCCGAACACGTGGACCCGTCAACCGGGGCACACACTCAAGGTCCTCGGCTGAGTGACGACCATTAAGTCTGGCGTCGCGTCAGGGTCAACGACACGCCTGGGTATACCGAGAAAATAATAGAAATACGGCGCAAAAAAGGATTACTTAGCAAGTGTCACCACCGATCAGACGCCGCCGACGGCAAAACCAAGGGGGATAGCCCCGTCGGGCCCTCGACCCGTCGGTTCCCTCGCGCCACTCTGATCCCTGCGTCGTCGGCGCTCGGTCTCGATCCCTAAATCTCTCCGACGAAAGTCCGACGCCGCAACCGTTATTGCTAGGCCTAAGGCTGGGTCTAGCTTTGATGGACACCTAAATAAACTAATACTGCGCGACGTGCAAGTCTACCGAAACGTGTATAAAAATCACATTGTTGTCGATGTCGTCCTCTGTACGTACGCACGTGCCATAGACAAGCGGACTAATCAGAAGACATCTTTTTAATCCTAGTTTAATCAGATAATAAAAACTCGTCGGCGATCGCGTCGTTTTTCACAATCATAAAAAAAAACAAAGATCACGCGCGCCTTCAATCTGCGCGCTCACACACTCTCTGCCCTAGTCAACCATTCAATCAATGTAAACCACAGACTTCGCCGCACCTCGCGCGGTATACTTAACTTTTAAATCAAACTTATTTTCTGTCATTTGCAAAAACCAGGGCGGATACCCTTGTAAGGGTATTCGCACTGACAACGGTGTCGAACTTTCATGTGGGGGATTCATGGATCGAGATCGGCGAGCGCCGACGCGGGACCATGGAAGTGGCGTCAAGGGACCGCGGGGTCGAGGGCTCAACGAGGCTATCCCGCATGGTTTTGCTGCCCACGGGCTGAAGCGGTACGAGTAGTCCTTTTTTTCTTCCCTCATCTTTTGTGTTAGCTTTTATGTTCTCAATCCTTATTTACTCTATTTTTATTATCGTTATTACTTTTATTTTTATGTTCCGGTCGTCTTTGAATTAGGCGTGACGCCGGATTTAGGGTGGCCATCACTGTAGTCGAGGACCTTGATCACGCGCCTTTTTTGGCGGGCCCGCTTGGGTTCCGGAGTGTCCTGGACGCGGACAAAATTTCTTCACCAGCCCATCTTGAAACTCGGACCGAAGAAGTCAACGTGAGTGAGAGTGGCGGGGTCCGTGGCTGTGGCTTCCCTTGCTTCTCACTTGGAAAGTGTCAGTAGCCTAAAGTCAAAGGGAATCGGAGAACGTTCTAAGGGAGCCTGTGAGGCCGTTGCTTGGGGATGGCGGGGGTTATCGCTGGTGCACCGTCCGCAAACCATGATCTGTTGTGAGAGGTTTGAGTGTGAGCATGCCCGTTGGGCCCCGTAAGATATTGAGCTATGCCTGGGCAGCGGCCAGGACACCAAGGTTGGGCCACAATGTGGCCCTGGACCCCTCCCCGTTTCGGGCCTCAAAGTCTACATTCAAATATTTGCTCCTACCATCAAGATTTGCACCGGGCTTGATTCGCCTAGGCCCACACCCTAAGCTTCGACGCGCCCTCCCACTTTTCGAGGAGCTAAAACCTCCTCGGTGGCAGTGTTGCCCGCCTTTGGATAGAGTGATTCGACAAGCGTGTTGATGCGCACTCGGTAGCGGAGTTTCGAATTGCTAGGACTGCAATTCTACCATCTATATCAGCCTACGTTGTTTGTGGTGTTTGGGTTATCAGGCAAGTTAGCGCTGTGAGGAACGGAGGTGGTGGCAAAGCGAAGGTCGAAGACAAAGTGGAACTGTGAGAAGAGAAGAAAGGGAAGGATGAATTTGGACGAGAAGTTGCGCCCGGCGTACGCGCTGTCGTGCGCACGGTCCCCGCTGGGGGAACATTCCCGGTCGCATCACGCAGGATTGGCAGAATTCACAAGTCGCTTCACAAAAAGGGAAGCGGGGGAGCCCCTCCGCCCGAGTGCGCCAGCTATACCTCCATCGAGTCCCTACGACAGGACAGGGTCTCGCGGGGTACAACTCACCTCCGCCCACAGGAGCTGTCACCATCCCTTGGATGGGCGTATCCCCGCCGAGCTTCTGAATCACACGCGAAAGCTTTTACTTGCAATCGCGGAGGTGGCCAAGTCGACTACGTTTCTCGTATGTTCTAGCATAGGGGGTACGCGCGGTCCACGCCTAGCTCGGACCCATACGCCAACCGTCACGCTGGGGCGCTGATCTCCCACGTGCGATTCAGAGTCGGTCGACTAGGACATCCTAACTCAACCACGCGATACACGACAAAACAAAGTAACTCAGACAAGCAAATTAGCCTAGTCCCTTTTTCATACGTCCAATTGCCAATGTGTCTGAGCGAGGTCCGCGCAGAGTTGCATAAAAAGAATGCCACTGCCATGGGAACCATAACGTTCAGTCATGTGTTCTCACTTAATCTGCTATCATGGCGACGCTTCATGCGTTACCCACATCCGTGCAACCTCCCATGGGTTTCGGGGTTGCGTACGATATTCAAGTGTCGAAAGCGAAATATCGTGAAGGGTTTCTCCTTCACGATATTGCACGGCTGAAGGATAAGCCGTTCAGCCCTTGCGGCACCCCTGTTTCTTAGGCAGTGGGTGACGATAAGCAAAGGGCGCAGATCCGGCTCAAGGGGAAAACCCTTTTGTGCTGGACCAGTGCCTGGGATGTCCTGGACAAGGACCTCGAATTCCAGGCTTAGGACCAGTGTCCGACTAATAATTTAAAAAGCGAAACCCCTTTGAGATGAGATTTGCTCATCCCTTCCCTGAGGGAAGAAACATAGGAGTAGTAAGGGGTTGGAGAGC